ATTTTTCTTATCATTTTCGTTTTCTCTCTCACCTACATCATCATTATTATTCACATTTTTCTTATCATTTTCGTTTTCTCTCCCACCTATATCATTCCCATTATAACACTGATAGCATCGATAAATACATCCGAGTATTTTAGAAGTTGTGAAAGTTATAAAAGTCAGCCAATTTACTATAAGAGTAATCAAGGGAATGATTTTATGTATTATTTGGTTGTTATAGTACATCATCTTATGTAAAAGTAATGATGTATTAATGAATAAATTAAATTACAAAAATGCAATATAAATGTTAAAATAACTATTTTTAACTTACTTGAATAACTACCCATGGTATTGTATAAAGAACAATAATTGAAATCTTTGACTTAAATATGAATTCCCTTGCTTTTTTCGAAAACGGGGCATTAAACACTTCGAGGCCGCAAAAATGAGAATTTAAAATCAATAGTACTTCAACATCTGAGGTTGCTAGCATTGCAATAAAAGCAGCAGCAATAAATTTTTTATTGGAGATCCATTTATTAAAATAATAATTTGACATTTCTTTAGTCAAAACTATGAGCGTATATATTACGTTCAAAATAATGCCAACGGACAAAATTACAATACTAAAAGCATGAAAGAGTCAATTAATATAAAATTCAAAATTCAAAATGTAAAAAACATGACAAGAACCTTGGAATATAAAGGAATGGAACGTCTTTTACTCGTGTTACAACAAACAAAATATTAGTGACCAGATTAAAGACGCTTAAAGTCATTGTGAAGAAGGAATATGTGTTGCACTAAAAAGATTTATAAACTAGGTAAATATTTAATCATTTCTTTGTTCTTTCTAGAACTGAAAACCATACCTGATCAAAAAAATCATCACCTATCTTTTTGATGCATGCTTGTGTATCAATACATTTTGTATCATGAATGCAATCCATACCCGTGTAGTCCCGCAATTTTACACAATTTTTTTGTCCTAGCCATTGTATACAATGTTCTTGGCCTGCGCATGTGTGCATACCTTTTGCTACGAAAAAAAGAATGATCGAACCTATAAATACTGATACATATATAAACCATTTATCTTTGATTTCATTGAAAAAGTTTGCTGAATAAATGATAATGAATGGATTAGAATATAAAGCTTATTAAAAATTAATGAAGTAATGAAAATATTTACAGTTTAGTGTAAACGGATATGTTTCATCAATATAACTGGTATGTAGAAGTTTTGAAAGAACAGTAATATATTTATTTTTTATCAACACATTTAAATCATTCATTATCTGATCTATATTCGGTTGAAATAGGTCCTTTGTACCAAAGATATTCAATTCAAATAATTGCTGTCCTTTTGGAGTGTCTGGATCAAAATTAACACGTCCAAAAGATAGCCTTGAAGAATCTATAGGAATACTTTGGGCTAGTTCTTCACTTAAACGGTCTCTAAACAATGATCGTTGATCAGATGTTAAATTATTGTAATAAATGGTTCCCTCTTCAGACAACCGTAAAGTTCCAGTAAGTAATTCTAATTGATCAAAACATTTATCAATAAACTATAAGTCTTTCATTCTTTATAACATTATTAGCATGAAATTAAAGCTACATACCTCCATACATATTTGGAAGTTTTTCTAGAATATATAATAAATGAAATGATTAAGCATTATTATTGCAATATTGCTTAAGCAAATGATGTTATATTACACTTACTAGGTTCAGTTTTAATTATCCATGAACCATTCGAAATACCACGTATTTGTTCTTGTGAACCAAAATCTTTAACAAATCCATTATCTATAGATATCAAGTAGGAAGTATTGGGAACGTTGAAAGTGCTTGATAAAATTTCACAGCTTATTGTTACTTTATTATTAAGAACTGAACAATACGATCCATAATAAGTTTGCCTTAATTTGGTATCATTATCATATAATTGATAAATTGAAATGTTTCCTAATGATTTAGAGATAGGATTCCTATAAGTAATATTGAGAGAATCAGTGAAACGAAGGCCTAATGTCTGATTATTTTCCGGAAAAGATGATATGATCAAAACGTTTTGAAATATGGCTATTAAAAATATAGTAAATATTGGTTATATTAGTATATTAATTATATTATTCATATTAGTCAAATAGTTTCATTGAAGATTAGTATAATAAACGTACAATCATTGTAATAGTGTGGCATATCTAAACTAAAAATTGACCAATTTAAGCCTTGTACAGCTATCCAAAATGTATTATTTTGCAAGAGTCCGAGAGAAAATCGTTCATAAACATCCATAATATTTATCGTTATAGGGTCAGGCATTTTCCACAAATCTAACGTAGATAGTTGATCATCGCTCAAGTAACCTGATATTCCAACTGTATCATTAGAGGCGAGATAAAATTTAACGACAAGGAAACCACCATAATACAAAGGAAAGTAATTATAAAAAACAATCGATTGATTTGGAGTCGTGTGGGGTAGTGATATTTGTGTATCATTCGTCACTGATCCAGATGATGGAAATGACACCATTGTTGTCCCCGGAGTTGGAAGAGATCCATTACCATTTCCAGTTACTTCATAGATTAAGCAATCGTTTCCTTTAGAGTCATGACTTGATTGGCATGAACCTAACATTACCACATTAGAAGTATTTCTTGTTTCGTATATTTGAAATGGAGTAATTACTTCACTATCATTAGTATTTGGGATAAATGCCACATGCACCAAAACGGCGGAATTAACATTAGTTTGATCACTTTGACTTGACATGTTGTTACTTTTAACCAAGCAATATACCACACCATAACCACCATCCACTCTTTGAAATGGTATGAGTGTAAAAAAACTTGCAAGATAAGTATAAGTATAAGCCCGAGCACCTTGGGGAAAGGGAATGTATCCTTCCGAAATAATTGAAATGTTGCCATTCAATCTGTCAATAAGATAATAGTTACATTATTATCATTACAGATATTAGTTATAATATAATTAATCTCAAAAAATATGACTCACGGAGAACTATATTTGGTCCATTTTAAAAAAGTATAATTAGTTTGTGCCACCAAAAATCCCATTTCTGGTCTTATATTTGATATAATATCTATGTTATTTTCATCAATTTGTCCTATAAATACGTTACTTATAATGTAATAGGTATATATTATTATTAGTTTTATGTTTGTTTTAAAGCGTAAATAATTTAAATAATGTACTTACTCTAACAAAACATTTCCAAACCAGTCAATTATCGTCCAACTTAAATTAGTCTGAACACCGTTCGATTGTTGGTACAAAAGAAATATAAAATTCGGCTCTAAGACATTATATTGAAAAACTGTCCAGTTTTCTTGATGTTTGACGCTAGAAAGACTAACATTAGCAATTGACCCATTTGTAAAAAGAATATGTATATCTGAGTAGTATTTAACAAGAGCAGATTTATTAAGAGTGCCAATTAACAATGTGCCGTCATCATAAGAACAAACTTTATCTAAAGGAAAATAATCTGCTTTATCATAAGTACGTGACGCTACAATATTATATGTATCATCATTTGATTTTGCAAAACAAGTCAAGAATATAATGAAATAAATAATAAGCCA